ATTGGTCACCTTTGGCACGAATTATGGCCTTCAAACGGACAATGAAACCGTCACACGCTGCCTGAATGTTGCTCTGCGGTATTTTGGCCCATTCCCGGCGAAGCGCTTGTTTGAGGTGATCGACACTTTGGTAATTTTCAGTGCCAAGCTTGCTTTCGAAAATACTCCAGACAGACAATAGTCCAACGGATTGGTATCCGGAGATTTTGGTGGCCATTGTGCGCTGGAAATGAAACGAGGAACCTCATTTTGTAACAATTCTTGGGTGGCGCGTGCTGAGTGCGATGGTGCTGAGTTCTGTTGGAATGTCCAAGGTCTGCGGCCAAAATTTTTGCGTGCCCAAGGCTTTAATACACCTTTCAGAATATTTTTGCAATAATATTCGGCATTTACTCTGATTCCACGGTCGATTAATTCGAGCGGAGAGGGACCATCGGCTGTTATGGGGCTCACATCATCACCATGGCCGGCATTTGAGTTCTGGTGGCCAACCGAATGTGCACTCTTTCAGCTGACCTGTTTGGCAAGTAAACACGATCATTTTGTTTGTTCACAAACCGCAGGACAACGAATGTTTTCTCATCTCTCATCGGAGAAAAGCAAATTTGGCAGTTCACCACTTTCGGCCAAGCGAACGAAGCAACTCTTTAGCTCTTTTGAGTCTATTTTCTTTCTGTGACGGTGTAAGTTGTTGCACTTTTTGGAATTTCAATGGCTTTACCCCGAGCTTATTTTTCAATATTTGCTGAACTCTTTAGCTCTTTTGAGTCTATTTTGTTTCTGTTGCGGTGTAAGTCCTTGAACTTTTTGAAACTTCAATGGCTTTACCCCGTGCTCATTTTTCAATATTTGCCGAATGAAATATTGCGAAATGTTCAGCTCACGAACCATTTTCGGCCAAAGCGACGCGGGGTTCGATCAAGTCGCTTCTTTACTTTTCGAACCATTTTATACCCACCACCTTGGAAAGGAGGGTATATTAACTTAGTCATTCTGTTTGTAACATCCCTAAATATTCGTCGTGAACCCCATAAAGTATATGTATTCAAAATCAGCATAAAATTCTAAGTCGATTCAACGATGTGTATAGATCGTCAAAATTTAGCAGAATAATTTGTATTGTGTATAGGATGGTTGGTATTGAAAAAGAGATACATCGGTCCACGTTTTGGTATAGTCTCCATATAATGGTACCTCCCGATATTCGGTATCATGATGATTTTTGCCACATTTTTTCAAGGATTTGTTTAAAAATTGGTATTTGTTGGTCATAAAGGGTTCTGGCTGCGGTGGTGAACTATTGTATGTATGGGTCCACGTTGTGGTATAGCCCTCATATTTTTGCCACAAATTGGTATTTGTAGGCCATAATAGGTCCTAATTCGTGTGGCGAAAAATTTAATGTATGGGTCCACGCTTTGGTATACCCCCATATAACGGTATACCCCCGATTTTTGGTATTTTGATGATTTTTGCCACATTTTCACACGAATATGTCTAAAAATTGGTATTTGTGGGTCATAATGGGTTCTTGTGTTTTCTTTACTCTTATGTGGAGGGTATTAAAAGTTCGGCCCGGCCGAACTTAATTTTTTTTACTTGTTTCATCTTTTCTGAATATACTATTCCATAAATATCTAAAATGAAAGAAGAAGAGAGTATAAAAATCTGCTTTTGATTTCAATTACGTACAATTTAAATAGATTTGACATTGTTAAGCTATTTCAGATTTTCGAGAAATACAAAATTTTTTCAATTATTTACATTAAAAAAATGATTTGGTTATGCCCAATTACATACTTATAGACATGTACTTCCTTCACCATAAACCATGTCGAATATCTACGCAAAAAACGGTTTAAGAACAAAGGGCCCCATAATTTCTTTAAACCCACAGCAATTTCCCATAACATATTGTGAATTATTAAACAATATTTTTTCAAACATAGCTTGCCATTAATATCATTATTATAAATATATACCCATCATTCAGAGGGTGGGAGTAATAGCCAAAATCTATACTAAAAAAACAACAAACGCATGTCGTTGGCCAAACGAAACATGTGTTCGTTAATTTTTCTCTCAACAACAACAATTTGTTTTCTGTTTTTGGCAAACAGGAAGCAATTATAACATTTTGTACAAAAGGCATCATATTGCTGCTGCCGCTGCTGCTGTTGTCATACGAGCAACCACAACAACAACAACAGCAGTAATAATTTTGGATATTATTTTAGTCATGTAGGCAAGCATTTCTGGCCGGCATTTGGATGTTGTTTTGAGTAATGAAGAATAGTTTTTTGGTGATTTGAGTTTTTTTATGCATTTATTGTTATGGATGACCAAGAGCAATGGGTCATGTTTGGCATTAAAATAAAATGTCTGACTCAATGAAATAGTGACACATATTATAAAATGGGGGACTGTGATGTTTGCAGATGTGTTAAATTAGACACCCTTTTCGTTTTTAAACAAAAAATTACAATAGGGACAGAGCATAATAGAAGCTTTTCATTCTCATTCTAGCGACAACCAAAAATTTTTCAATGTTACTGCAAGTTGCATAAAGCTGATATAGGTGACAATGCCTTTCATCTCTTCAAATTACCGAGTATTTAACATAACCCAGGAGAGAAAAACTTAAGTTCTGAAAAGGTCGTTTTACATATGACTCTAATATGATGTGTCAACAAGGCTTAACAGATAGTTGGATCGATTTCAGAATCTTTTGGAAAGCATATTTAAAAATTATTTAATTATTGCATACTTTTAGGCGCATGTCATTATTAAAAATCGACAAAAAATCCATAACTACAAAATCGAAAGGAAAACGTCGTTTGTGTTTTTTATCGCCAGTAAAATCAGAAATCGACATTATTAAGAACTATCAAACACATAATATCCCAGAACTAGATTTTAGGTTGCCTTTATCAGTAATCCATGAAAAGAAAAGCTTAGAGCCTTCATTCCCAATACACGGAAGACAATGAAAATTTTATTGGGCCTAGAAAGCAGAAGCGGTTTGTGAATTCAATAAAATAAGAAAGTCACAGAATACATAGATATATCCAATGATAGTCGATAAAATGTCTTCTATAACATTTTGCGCAATTAATTTAATAGAGGAAATTACAACTTAACATTGCGGGGTTTCCCAATGTAGATGGAGATTTTATTAGCGTAAAATTAAAAATTATCCAATATTCTATTGACTCCCAAAATTTTCCACTATTCTCCTAACTACATACATATCTATCTATGATCACCACATTCCAAAAATTTCCGAGTGAAGTCAGATAAAAAATGATATTGTCAAGCAAAGGATCACGAATGCCCCAGACCAATATCTTCAAAATATGTCTGAGGCTTTATATTATATATTAAGAGAGCCATCTATTGTTGTTTAGCAAACGGGAAGTTGCAGAAAAAAAATCATGCCTGCCCTGTTCGGTGATGAGTAATTGATTGTGTTGTAATGTCCACGGGGATGAGACATTTTTCACCGAAATTGTTTCAAATTTGGTATTTGAAGTTCGTAATGAATACTATAGCCTAAGACAAAAAATTGTCTGTGCAGGTCCACGTCTTCTTAGAGTCCCCATATAACGGTACCTTCCAATATTGGGTATTTTGATGATTTTAGCGTCATTATTCACCGGAATTGTTTGAAATTAGGTATTTGAAGTTCGTAATGGAAACTACAGTCTGTGACAGAAAATTGTCTGTGCAGGTCCATGTCTTCATTTAGCTCCCATATAACGGTACCTCCCTATATTCGTTATTTTGATGATTTTAGCGACATTATTCATCGGAATTGTTTCAAATTTGGTATTTGAAGTTGGTAATGGATACTACAGCCTAATGCAGAATATTGTCTGTGCAGGTCCACATTTTGGTATAGCCCCCATATAATTGTACCTTCCTATATTGACGATTTTAGCTACATTATTCACCGATTTTTTTCAAGTTTCGCATTTGAATATTGTAATGGCTTATGACAAAAGTTGCCTACGCAGGTCCACATCGTGGTTTAGACCCTAACATGACGGCTACATTTGGTATTTTTAAGATTTTAAAAGAATTTTTAACGGATTTTATTTATTTATATATATATATATATATATATATATATATATATATATATATATATATATATATATATATATTTTTTTTTTTTTTTTTTTTTTTTTTGAAAATTGCCAAATTCGTTCCAAATGGTGGAGAGTATCCAAAGTTCGGCTCGGACGAACTTACAGGGTTTTTGCACTTGTTTCTACCCCCAGAGTGTTCCCCCTCGAATTCGACGAGGTTCACTTTTTACTCGAATTCGAGTGATAACTTAATGAAATATATGTATTTGGAGATTCGGGGCTATTAATAGAAATTAAGCGGATCATTATTTTTTAAGCTTGACAACAACTGATTTCGCCCGTTAAGCCCATATAATCTTCCCATATAATCTTCCCATTTTTGATTATTTTTCTCTAAAAAATTGAAAACACACTTCTTTTTCAGTCTCCTTAGAATGGAGTTTCTCTAGTGATACAAAATAGGACAAGTTGATTAAATTTGGGAAACACAATTCTGGAGCTTGAGTCTTGTAACTTCAAATTTACCAATAAAAAACAGCGCGTGTAATATAGATTCAGAAAAAAAATCAATTTTGCATCACGTTTATAATTGTGTGGCCTATATTTTGGAATTTTCAAATTTTGTCAAATTTTTAAATAAAGCTTTTTGTTTTTCTCGCAATTAGGAAACAATTATCCTTTTAGATACATAAAATTCAGTATTTTTTGTTGCCTACATTTAGGCTCCACAAAATTTTTTATTTTTCAATTCAAATTTTCAAACAAAATTATCTTAAAACAATAAATTGAAATTTTCTAAATTCGTTTGTATGAAACTTTCTTTTTCATTATCTCATAAACATATATTTTCTTTTTTTTCGCTAAGAAAAAACTTTTTTCACTTTATTCATCATTCTCGTTTTTTTGCAGATATTTTGTTTTGACACGTGACTATCTGCATTGTTTTAAAAGAGCATCAGGTTCAGCCAATGAACGTGCCTCCGACATGGGACAATTTATATTTAAGGTAAGTCATCTCCTTTATTTTTACACACATTCCATAGATTTAAGAGGACATACTCGAGAGGACATTGACATACGGAAGTTCTGAGCCGTATAAAAAAAAAACAGAAGAAGAAGAATAAGAATAAAAAAAATAAAGAAGAATAAAAAACGCCGTTAAGTGAAAAAGAAAGCTAGATAGAACCTTAAAAGATGATTATCAGTTCATATAACGTGATTAATCTACAAAACAAAAAAGAAAAACAACAACAACGTATTGAAATACAGTAAAACTTATAAATCTTTGGGGGGCTGGCTATGCAGTGCAGTGCACAAACAACAGCAACAACAACGAATGTTCATGGCAACACTAAGATTACAGCAATGAATTTCTTCCCACCAGAGAATCGACAAAAAAAAAGAAAAAAACTTTGCCAGTAACTCAGTTCATTCGCTGGAAATCATTCGGAATCAGCAATGCATTGAAATGATTTACGATTGTGTAACATCTACAGTTTGCTGCGTGTTTTATGCCACAACATTTTCTTCATCATCATCATCGTCATCACCAACAACCGAACCAACCTCATTGACGACCATTCTCATCGCCATGTATTCGAGCTTGCTCCATAATCTGGGAAATAACAACGCCGCCATTAAATTACAATTCATTCACCTTTTGACTCTTTCTTAAGCAGATTTCAACGTTCCCCCCTCTGGGCACTCTGGGTTGATCTGTTTTTCTCTGTAGTCGTATTTTTTTCTTATAGCAGATTAAATTCTTTGTAGCTTTTTTTGGTATTAAAGTCAGTAAGTCAGTTATGGGTTTAATATAAAAGCGGCAAATGCAGTGGAAAACTTTTGGCATTTTCGGTTTTGTGACTTCGTATTGTGCAAAACCCAAGAAATACCTCAGAGGATTTTTTTCATTTTTTTTGAGAAAGAATTCGGTTTTTTCGACAATCCACTATATTTGCGTGTTGTGGCCCATTACAATGAAATCAACACCTTGCTTTTAAGTAAAAATGCATGTCGGATTTATTAAATTACTACTAGTTTTTCACAGTTCCAAGTCGTTTTTAATTTTTTGGCTTTTTTATTATTATTTTGTAATGGATTCATTATTTCGTGTTTGATGAGGAAATTGAAAGGAATTTGCACTTGAGCAATACATAAGTCACTGGAATTTTTAAATTAAAAGAAAAATGTTTCGAATAATTTATAAAGCAGACATTGGCAATTTTAGAGAGAGGGAGAGAGTTGGGTATAAATAAAAGAAGGGAAACGGATTTAATCACCATTAAAAACCAAGCAAAAAATACAAAAAAGTAAACAATAATTTTCTTAAAGGCAGTGGCTAAACAAAGCTGGATTCTTATCATAATCATATTTTTTCATATTTTTCAAATTTATAAAATTTTAATAAATTATAATAATATAATTTTTTTTTAATAATCTTTTTATAATTAATTTTTTCTTAATACTGTGCAAGATAATTTCAGGGGAAATCCAGCAGATTATGAAAGTAGAGCTAAAAAAAAAGACACATGTATTGGAAAAGTTTGCGCGTATTCGAAAGTTCACATCACAAAGTAACCTAAACAGAGGGACAATTCCACCCCCTTCCCCCAACCTTTCAACACTTTTCGAATTTTTTTAATTAGGATTCCTAAGAAACCTTGCACTTTAGGTATATAAATGGTGAGATAAAAAACTGCAACAAAGTCAAACGCCATAATTTTTATACCCTCCACCCTTCTGTCGGTCCACGTTTTCGTATAGCCCCAATATAACGGTAACTCCCGATATTCGGTATTTTCATGATTTTAGCGACATTATTCACCGGAATTATTTCGAATTTCGTATTTTTATATGCAGGTCCACGTCTTTGTGTGGCGGCATATAACGGTACCTCCCCATAGTCGGCATGTTGACGATTTCAGCAGCATTATTCAACGGAATCGTTTCAAATTTCGTATTGAAAGATCTTAATGGGCACTACAACTTATGGCAAAAAATTCATATACAGGTCCACATCTTCGTATAGTCTCCATATGACAATACCTCCCGATACTCCGTATTTTCATGATTTTTGCGACATTATTCACCGTAATTGTAACAAATTTCGTATTTGAAATTCGTAATGGGCACTACAGCCTAAGACAAAAAATTTCGTATGCAGGTCCACGTCTTCATATAACGGTTCTCAAGTGTTAGTTTTCGGAATTTTTTTTTTTAATTTTTCATTTTTTAAAAGTTCTGCCCGGACGAACTTAGCTGCTTTTTTACTTCTTCCATTTTTTTTTAATTTTTATTGAATGAAAGCAAAAAATGTCGGAAATAGCATAAAATTTTAGAATACGTTTAGATTTGTTGTGATGAAACCGTCACGCTGCCCGAATGTCGCTCTGCGGTATTTTGGACCATTGCCGGCGAAGCGCTTGCTTGAGGTGATCGACACTTTGGTATTTTTTAGTGCCAGCCTTGCTTTTAAAAATACTCCAGACACGATAGTCCCACGGATTGGTATCCGGATATTTTGGTGGTCATTGTTCGCTGGAAATGAAGCGAGGAACCTCATTTTGTAACCATTATTGGGTGGCGCGTGCTGAGTGCGATAGTGCTGAGTCCTATAGGAATGTCCAAGGTCTGCGGCCAAAGTACTTGCTTGCCCAAGGCTTTAATACACCCTCCAGAATATTTTCGCGATAATATTCGGCATTTATTCTGATGCCACTGTCAATTAATACGAGCGGAGAGCGACCATCGGCTGTTATGGCGGCCCACACCATCACCATGGCCGGCGCTTAAGTTCTGGTGGCCAACCGAAGGTGCACATTTTCAGCTGACCTCTTTGGCAACTAAACACGATCATTTTCTTTGTTTATAAACTGCTGGACAACGAATGTTTTCCCATCGGAGAAAAACAAATTCGGCCGTTCACCACTTTCGGCCAAGCGAAGCAACTCTTTAGCTCTTTTGAGTCTATTTTCTTTCTGTTGCGTTGTAAGTTCTTGCACCTTTGGGAATTTCAATGGCTTTACTCCAAGCTCATTTTTCAATATTTGCCGAATGGAATATTGCGATATGTTCAGCTTACAAGCCACTTTTCGGCCACTGCGACGCGGGTTTCGACCAATTCGCTTTTTTACTTTTCGAACCATTTCTGCTGATGTTGCTGTTTTCTTCCGTCCACTTCCTTGACGTCGGGCTACGCTACCAGTATCATGGTAACGAGCGATGGTATGAGACACAAAAGATTTATTCACATTTAAGTGTTGGAGTGCTGTAACGATAGTCACTCGTGGTTTTCCATCCAAATATAAACAAATCACACTATCACGCTTGAAATCCATCACGAATAACTTTTTTTCTGGAAAATTCTCAATACTTTTGTATGCTTGTAAACAATATAATGAACTGCTACTAGATTAATTTTAACAGCTGTCGGAGGAGTGGCTTAGAAATGGCGGCAGTCTGAACTTGGGTGCAGTTTTTTTTATCTCACCCTGTATATATATTTAAAAAAAAACAATCCCGTTATTATTTTTGAAAATTTGCCAAAGCGCCTAAAATTATGCTCTAATGTTATTAATATAAGTGTGAAAGCACACTTTGTCTCGGATATTAATAAGTTGTTTTCATGTCATCCTGTATATATTAAAAATGTAATCCCATTATGATTTTAGAAAATTTGCCAAAGCGCCTAAAAGTATGCTCTAAAATAATAAATATAGATGTGAAATCACACTTTGTCTCGGATTCTCGGACTTTGTCTCATATTGTCTTTCTATGAAATTTGCAAGTTGATATCTCTAGAACTCAAGGAGTTGAAGCTTTCCTTACTTAGCGTCAGACGTATTTTTTTCCTATGTATAATTTATCCGATCATATCGATATGATCGGTATTTGAGTGTCTAATAATCGGAAATATTAAATGTTTTTACTGTCGATATTGTGTTTCTACCTCCCTCAATGAAATGAGGTATACTTTCAGGGGCGTTCAATTTCCATATTCCTGCCATGGTAGAAGAATACAGGTAGTCGCGTTTACAGAGCTGTTGGGACAATGAACTGTCAAACCACTTTTGGAATTGAAATATTTGAATTAAAAATAATTGAAATTTATAAAAACTGTTCAAAAATACATATCATAAAAACCTCCGATTGTCGTCGTATAAGAAAACATTTAAAAATCTACTTATTTTTGATAAAACATTTTAGAACGTTTAACATATCAATGTTCCGAAGCGTTGATGCATCTGCATGTATTCTTCGACCATGACCCCTGCACTATGGAGTATATTTGATCATGATACCTCTCGTATTAATATAACTTGAACTCTTTTCCCCACCTAAATATCTCGACCCTCCGTAGAATTAGATCATTATCGATTATACATTCATTATTTATTTGGATTAAATATTTTAATGGCTTCTTGGCTACATATAACATTTAACATCCGGCCACAATACCGGTCATACGTCCGTTGTCTTGGCAAACGATCTTTGCAGCGCATATCTTCTTAAACAATTCAAAATCAAATTTACACCAAAATTTATATATATGGGTATATATATGGATATACATACATATTGGCATTTGGCCAATACAAATATTTGAATGAATGAAATATTTAATGCCATGGGTGGGTATGAGGTTTCGCATCGAAACACTAACAACACGAGCGAAAATTTGGCAAAAATATAAAATTCAATGTTCGTAATAAATCTCAAATCAGAAAAATATACAAAAAAAAAACACTCAAAACAACATCAAAAAAAATAAAACAATTATAAATCACAAAATGTGTTTAAATTCACGACAAAACGCCGAACCCCGCCAGCATTCAATTTTGCGATCCAAACAAACAAATTTGTTGAAGTTTTGAATGAGAAGCGTACGGTTTTTTACGAATCTGGCCTAGCCGCAGTAAAAAAGAAACATATCAAAACATTATGCAAATATAACATTTGGTTGAAGACAATGTGACTGATGGCTGTTGGGTTTGATAACGAAAAAAG